TCTCTTAATGTTCTTGATTCGGCCAAACACGGAGGTGACTCTTTTTGCGCTTAATTATGTGCGCGCAGTGCTCTTTTTGTATTATATTTGTTCAAGGATCTCATTGTGTTCTGCATGCACGGTGGTCTCGTGCATCACTTTTGACGATTGTTTTTGAAACTTTAGAAAGTGTAGTTGTTGAAAATCGTTTTCGTCTCCATTGTTGATGGATATGAGATGCACAAGTGATTGACGTAAGAGATAAGCAGCCGAGTAAGATGAGCTCGCTTTGAATACAAAGATGAACACTGTATGTTTTTGTATCTGTTCTATAAAATGTTTTATTATAACATTTAAAATAAACCCTTCTTCTAATGACCAAAAGAGTTAATTTTTTATAATTGTATTTAATTATATTTTTATTGAGCCCAAGTTTAATAGTTTGGAGACTGACGTGAGTTTTAATATTAATATTTTTGTCTTTTTTTCAATTCACTCTTGAGTCCAAATTTATTTATTCATATTATGAAGTTAAAAATAAAAAGCATTGTTTTAATTTAATTTATAATTGTGGAGTATTAATAATTAATATAATAATAACGTTTCATTTATAAAAATTTAATTATTATCTGTAATATTCTTATAATTAATCAAAGTAAATAAGATATTTAGTGTTTTTTTTTTTTTTAAATAAATTAATACATTTAATTATTATTTGTCCATTCTATTGAATTTTTTATAATTCTGAGCAAAATATTAGCAGCTGGAAATGATTTTTTACACCTTTTCATCCTTTTCATGAAAACAATTATGATATTTTTAATGAACCATTCTGAGAGTTGATTTGAATCAGAATTTTGACTATTGTGAAACTTCATAATGATTATTCCTATATATTTGTAGAATTTACTACTCTACTATTGATTCTGTCTGTCATTATTATAGTGAAGGTAAAAACATATTTGCTGAAAACAGTGGCTTTTTGACAAAAAGTTTTTAAATAGAGAGCCATCATGATTTATAAAAGCAACAAAAACAAATTAAAATGTCAAATATTAATTATAATTTGCATCATCTATAGTTAAAATCACAATTCTTTCCGAGACTTTTGCAATAAAAAAATAATCTGTTCATTCTTTAACTAAAATTTAAGTGGAAAAAGCCGTCTTTTATTTAAAAAGGGAAATTTTCAACAAGTCTTTTTATTTCAACTTTACATTTACATAATTTAAATAAAATTCCATTTTAAATTTTGAACCCTGTTCAATTTGGCACACCTGTTTTGATAGTGCCAAAAGACGTTGCCAGCACATAAAAATATTTGCATTCACAGAGGGCACTAACCCGTCGTCCAAGGGACTTTTAAAAAATACACTTTCATTATCACCGCAACACGCATTGTGTACATTTCACACTTCTCCAATGAGCCGCCGGGTGAAATGTATATAATTTTTATTATTACACACTCCTTCCGTCCATTGAGAGCGGCCGGGATGTGAAACGAACGAACGAACAAGCATCTCTCTTGCTCTCGCGCGAGAGATGATGGGAGTTTGAACGAATGGAAAAGAGCCAGAATAATTGCTGAGGTTTTCGCCGTCGCAGTTTCGTATCTCGCGCGCCGGCATTAAATTCAAGGTGACGGCGCGGGGATTTTATTCCGCAATTATTCCCACACAAATCAGCGGCAAAACGCTGCGAATACGCAGAATAATGAATGTGCTTGCTTGGGATGCTGTTACATTTTCATTCTCGGTTTTCTGCTGCGAGAGACGTTTTGTACGACTGCAGCGAGCAGAGAAATAAAAAAATGCTCGGCTTGAAAACCGCGAACGAGATGCGGAATTTATAATAAAATGAGAAGCGAACGCAACCGCAACGCACGTCAACTGGCGCGAGTGTGCAGCGGTGATGCTCTCACGCGGCATTGCGTTAATTTGTCACTTCGAGAGATGAGAATGATGTATCATGTGTGGCACCAAAAGTGAAACGACACCAATTTTGAAAAGAAATACATTAAAAATTTAAAGAATAAGTTTAGAAATTCCTAAAAAAAGCTATCAAAGAAAAATTGTGTAATTATAGAAAATCATAGAAAATAAATTAATAGACTAACAATCAAGGGCTTTTTCTCCTTGCAAATGTTTTTATTAATAAAAAAAAAAGAAACAACGGCTCACTTTGAATGAAAACGATTTTTGCAACACGGAAAAGCCCAATTTCTTCATTTCCATGATCATCTCCTCGAATGTCAAATTATCAAAAATATTTATTACAGAAATCAATCTGAGATAGGCTGAATTCAACAAATTTTATTTTTACAATTTTTCTACTTTTTATTACTAAAAATAAATTTTTTTTTCAATTAATTTGTCAGGTTTTTTTAAACTTTGATTCAATTTAACTCAGGATGCATAATTAGTTTTTGGCGGAAAGCTTATTTAAAATGCAATAAATTTAAAAAATATATAAATAAAATTGCATTATACAAAAAAAATTTATAAATAAGAATAATGAAAAAAAATTGAATCAAAATATTCATCAAATATTGTAGGATTTCAAATAATTTATAAAACACAAAAAATTACAAATAGGATTGCAAATCTTAAATTCAAACAATTCATTCTTTTTGGCTTCAAACAGCTGCTTTCAACTGAAAGGGCTCCTCTTTGTATTAACGTCTGCAATTTACTTAGCAAGTTTAGTTTTCGCTTTTGTGTGCGCAATTAGCAGCGTTTTGCAAGAAATCGAGAAAGTGTATCCAACGAGAATAATAGACATACATACACGCTTCGGGGATAATGATTGTGCATTTGCACGAAGATCGCTCGCAGACAGAGAGCTCAATGCACGGATTGAGAGAGCCGCACCAAAGTGCAGCTAATTTTTTTTCGCGACATTCGTCACAGCGTGTGTGTGAGTGACGTTGTTGTGTGGCTCACTAATTGCTCAGTCGGTGCAAAAAAAACCACGCATGGGGGTTGCGTCACACGCAAGAAAGAAAAAAAAAGAACAGTACAAAACAAGTCACGCCCCGGTTCCTGTTTCGTTTGCGCTCCGAGACGTAGTTCTTTATCGTGCCCACTGACTTGAAAATTTCAGTTTCAAAATCATGTCTCATCCTTAATTTAATTCAATTACAGTTGTTTTGAAATTTCAGTTGCGCTAAACGTTGTAATTATGTGAATGACTAAAATATAAAATTTCTGAATATTTTTATCTGTTGAAGGATTAAATTTAAAAATTTTGACTTTCTGGTTCATTGTTGTTTATTTTTAGTTGCAATCACATTTAAAATAATGTGAGACTGAAAATTATTATTAATCTTTACTATTTCTCCTGTTTCTCATTATTTTATTTTATTTTTTAGTATTTGAAAGAAAATTCTTGCTTAAAAAAAGTTAAACTTTATCTTTCTAAACCAATATTATTGAAGACTAGAAAGTTAAGTTTTTTTGTTAGATAAAAGACAAATTTTTCATACAATTTTACCGATTATAAATTTGACTTTGATTAGTGTGCTAAAAAGATAAAAGTTTGACGTGTCTGCTCATCTGCTGGTTTTGAATGAAATAGTTTTAAATAGATCACGGTGCAGGATCTCGCATTTCAGACACCTGACAAAAAATCCGTGTTAAATATAGCAGCCATGCGGGTTTTGAACGGAATTATTTATAGGTCTGTCGGCTCGAGAGAAAACTTCCTCTCTCAATTGATTAGCCGGTTGTGAACAGTTGGATATCAAAACAAACCGATTTATATCATGAATTATTTAACAATTTTAAATTTGCAATCCTAAACCAACAGGTTAATGTTGACTTTAAAATTCAATAATTTTTCTGGATTTATTTATTCATTTATTTTTCCAGTCTTAAATTGAATGGAGAACAAATACTTATAGAAATGTGAGTTTTAAAATTGCGTAAAATATTACACCTGCCTAACCATGTTTACCGATTGTTCATTATTATTTCTGGAAAAAGGTGTGCGTCTTTGTTGCGATAACGAAAACAAAAAGGTGTGTGATAACCCGACTGTCTGCTCTTCCTCAACGATTGTCTCGTAATCGCTTCAGGAAGCTGATAACCCTTGAAAGCAGGGGAAGCGCCGAGGAAAGAAGAAGCAAAAAGTGCAGGTAAAGTGCACACCTTTCTTCTCCGAACAAATTCCATTAACGCAGTTTATTTCAGTCAGGCCGACTCAACCTGCTTCAGGTGGTTTATGCAGGTGCACGAGCCTAGTTCAGTAAACCTAGGAGTAGTTTAATATTATTCATTGCCTTTCAAACAATTGAATTATTTTAAAATTCAAACAACTTTCTCGAAATTGCTTGAATTACTCTCTTTACCGTTTAATTATTTTGTAATTTTCTAAATTTGACTTTTCTGATATATTATATTATTTAAATTAAAAGTTGAATTTTCCTCCAATGAGCTTTTTATTAGATTTTGAGAAAAAAATTTAAATTTAATTAAAAATTAAAAAAAGAAATCCAAGGAAAAAGTTGATTCAAAATTCAAATCAACTCTTGATCAAGAAATTATTACATAATAATTTAAATTTAATTAAAATGGATGTCAAATAGTCCTAACATTTTTGAGCCACAAAGAAAATTGATGCTAATTTAAAATAAACTTTTCTTTGTCACGCAATTATTTTCAACCTGACGCAGAAACGTTTATCTAAAGTGCGTCCCTCTCTTGCATCTAATGTTTGCTCTGCTCGATCCAGCCCGTCCGCTCTCTAACAATAATTAAAATTTATTTTTATTGTCTCTCATTCTGCGGTGCGAAAACAAACCTACGTGCAAGCTTTAAACCCGACACACTATTTTATGAATTAACGCTTGATAAGAGAGCAAACGGCAGCAACTCGAGTTGCTCCTTCTCTCTCTCAACTCTTTCTTTCGCAGCCTCCCGAGGGCACGAAATCATAAACATTCCATTGACCTCGCTCGGACGCCGAACCGCGGCTGCCCGTTGAAGAAAGGGCGCGAAAACGAACCGAAAGGGGTGGCTTACCGGTCGAGACAAGGGTGCGAGGGTGTGTCCGACGCGTCGGTGGTGCGTGCCAGTGTGTCCGGACGGCCGGTCGGATTGCGGGACACCACCTGTTGGCCCGAGAGATGCTCTCACATGCCGCTCGTCAGTCGGTCGGAATCTGAGAACGAGTCGCCGAGTTTCGTCGGCGACCAATCGCGAACACCGCTACCCGCATCTCTCGGCCCCCCTCCCCGCTCACGTGCCCGCGGGCTCTGGCCTAATTTCCTCCAGCCAAGACACCGCGCGCCATCTGTCTCCCGAACGCACCACCCGCTCGAAACTACCTGCGCAATTTGAATTCCAGTGCGAATTTTCGCTAAAATTTGAAACAGGAAACTATGTATGACCTTGAAAATGGAAAAATAATGCGGAAGGTTGGGGAATATTGAAGGCCGGAAATTAAAAATGTGGAAATAATATGGAAAGTCCCTGTACTAGATCATTATTATTTAGATTTATGTATTCCAGTAAATAAATAAATAATATTCTAGAATTATTTAGTATTTTTTTTTTACGCAGCATTTTATATTGCGCCGCTTAATTTTTTGATTTTCCTCAAGGAATATATTCAGAGTGTTGGAGTGTTATGTTAGGTATGTGAAAATATTCTTTTACTCAATACGTGTAAGGGAATTTGAAAATGACAACAATATAATATTAATTAAAAAGGTCAATTAGGCTAGGAAAATGGACAATTATGCTTTCCACTAGCTGCTAATTTACCAATTTAATCTAGCTCGGCACAAAGTTTCTGCATTTATAAGGTTTAAAGCGTTTTATTGCTTCCAAAAAATTAAAGAATACACATTTATTATACAAAAAAATTGTCAATTTTTGTGGCAAAACATATGAAAATGTTCTAGTTGCAGAGGTGTTTGAAGTAGCAACAATATAATATAAAGAGAGATATAGATGGAAACAAAAATTGAAAGTCTCTGAATCTCTTTTCCAGGATAATAAACAAGTGTAAACACAAAATAATCAAAGAAGCATTCAATTGGTCCGAAAAGAAAAAATCTCAAAAGTATATTTATATAAATTTTTTCTTGACTTCAATGAAACGCCTCAAGTTGGAACTTAAAATTGTAATTAGTCTTGCTTAAAGCCTTACAATTTTAAAGCTGAAGCTGCTCTGGCAAGAAGCAGCGAAGATGATTTTGTACCTTTGAGACACAAACGAAGGGTAATTATTTAATTTGCAACCAATCAGAAAAGTAACAAGCTATTTCAAACAAGGACTATAACCGTGTGAATCGTTTACGAATTTTGACCGAATCTCGGAGCTTATCATCAACAGTTGTTCATTAACTGTAAAATTACACTTAAATATTATCAGTCGCAGTCCTTGTTTTTCATTTTCTTTGTTTATTACGTCTGGAAAATATATACCATATTATAATCAAATTTCCTATATTTGAAAAAGTTGATCACCTTAATTTTGCAATGCAACGCGAAATGAAAAGAGGAGTGTGAGAGTTCATAAAGATGCCGACAAGATGTTCATATTTATCAATTTTTACACGTTTGCGTGTGCTACACTTTTTCTCTCTAGAGTTCTTTCTCGATCGTTCGCACTCGCTTATCTACATTCAGATCACTCTAACAGAAGTCGAAGACGCGATCATCCAATATGTACTTTACCTAAAAAACAAACAATGGGAAAAGAGGTTAAAATTCGTCATCGTGGTGTGTTTTGTTTATATGAAAGTAAAATCGAGCTGGGTTGTATTATGTACTAATTGTCTCTTTTGAAAGCTGATAACATTGGTTAATTATTATTGCTTTGAGGTTCATTGTAAATAATGGGTGGCGCGGCAGAAATATAATATTTAATGAGCAGAAACAAGGCGCTCCAAAATACATCGGCCGTACTTATTAAATAGTAAGTTAAATTTCAGCAAAAACGATTCATTTAATGGCGAGTGAGGAAAAACTAGAAAAATGAACAATTCAATTTCAGTTTGAAATGTTTAATTTAAAAAAAAACTTAAATTGGCCCCTTTAATTTAAATTCCTATTAATTGTTTAAAAAAAATTATTTAATTATTTTGGCTGTATTTTTAATTTCCTTAAAATTTATCATAATCAAGTAAATTTAAATATTTTTACAAACCGGCCCGTTTTAAAGAAGGTCCCGACTGACCCTAAAATGAACGATAAGAGTTGCGGACCATCAGCAATCAGCTTAATTAATAACCATTACAAAACTTGAACTTGACACTTAATTAATAATCTTCATACTAAACGAAAACAGACATAAAGTTTTTTTGTTTTATCGGAAATTACCATTTTTGCGCTCACTGCTCAGCTCCTCCGACCTGGGGGGCGACCTCGTCCCTCTGGCAAGGGGCCTCCTGCTGGACGTCCTCGGCTTCGGAACTGCTGCTGCTGCCAGTGGAAGTGTGCGAGTCGCTCTCAGAGTCCATCGAGGAATCTTCCTCCGTCGAGACCCTCCTGAGGGCGGCCGAGGGCTCGGCGGCCATGGGCACGTCCGTCGGGACGCACTTGCGCCGCAGACACTCGTTCTCGGCCCGCAGTCTGTTGTTCTCCTCGGAGAGCTTGGTGATCTCGGCCTTGTAGAGGAGCACCTTGTCCTCGCCGCTGGCGTCGCAGCGGCCCTTCAGCTCGGTCAGCTCCTTCTGCAGACCCTCGACCCTTTTCTCCAGGGCCAGCACGTCCTGCACCAACTTGGTCTTGGTCTGCGACTGCAACTGGTCCGAGTGGAGGCTGTCGTAGGTGTTGGCGAAGTCCTTCAAGTAATACTCCTCCTCGTCCTCGGGCGAGGAATAGTAAAAGTCCTCTTCGGAGTCGTAGCTGAAACTCGAGTCCCGGGCCCTCTTGTGCCGTGGAACGTGGTGTGGCGCCGCGTTGTGCTCTTTCATGTCGATCTCGATGCTCTCGTTGTGGTCCTCGATGAGAAACTGCGTCGTGTTGTACGGCGCCACGGGCTGTCCGGACAGGAACATGCGTTCCCGGATCTTGTTGGCCCGCTGCGGTTCCCTCTCGGGCCAAGAACTTTTCGAATACGGCTCCAGTTTCTTCTTGTTGCGCCGATTTCTGCGCGTCCGTTTCCGCTTCCGGTTGGCACGGCTGCCTCCACTGCCTCCGGGGGTGGCAGAGTCATCGCCCTGCGGCTTGGGGTTGTCACTGGGGGTCGAGTCTTCGCCGTCGGCCTCTGCCTTCCTCTCCACTTTCCCGCCGCTAGAGTCGGCCTGTTTGCTTCCGAACTCGGCCGCACTAGTCGGCGGCGTCGCTGCGGTCGCCAGCTCGCTTCTTACAAAATGGACACCGTCCATAGTCCTGTCGTTGACGACATTTTCAAGCCGAATTTCGGCCACTTGAGATTCACTTACGTCCATTTTTGCGCACCACGTCGCTAGTACGTCGTCTCAATTATGCTTCTGAACGCTGCCGTTGGCTAAACACGATGTTCGTCTGGAGAATTTGGTCCTTTGCCACGAGCATAACGAACTGCTCTGCTCGAAGGGCGGTAGCAATATGAAAAATTTTTCGTGCCCGCCGTCATGCCAGCAGTGGCGCTCGGTCTCCGCTGATACTACTACACGCAAAACGGCGAAACCAACGGGTGACGTCACCGACTTGAGATAATAAATTCGGGGCTTCATTTTCCTGTCAACCGCGTTGATTTAGTCAAAGTTTTTGAATTTTAAAACATTTCTCTCGACTTTTAATTCGACGCAATGAACAAAAGCTGGAAATTGCAGCGTTTTAAAAAGTTCCCCGGTTACGACCCATTAATTTTTACGATCCGTTCACTCCACAGACGCGAGTTTACGCTTCATTTTATTTGGTCACGACTGCCTTGTGTAGTAAAATACAGGGTGTTTTCGGGTATCACAAAATAAAAGGAAGAGTGCAATTATAATTTCTTGGCATGAGAGTTTTGCCGTGATTCGGTCAGCACGCTCGCCAGCTTGGATGAAAATTTCGCGTTCTCTGCTAAAAATTGGCAAACTGCAGTCAAATTCAGTGAAAATCTCGCCGCACGTAGGAACAAAATGCAGCCAATCAGAGAATTGCCCTCTGGTATAAAACTTCTCCTATCCATGTCGTGTCAAATTTACCCACACAATTGATGCAGCCAAATAATGCAATAACAGCAGATGCCGAGTGAGGAGGGCTTGCAATAAATTATAACGAGATATTCCCGCTTTGTACGGCAATAGAAAAAAAAATTGGCCAGCACTCACAATCCAGCAGCAAAATATAAGATAATCATTGCCAAAAATAAAATAATATTACTAGACTTTAAAAAAAATGTGTATTATTCCATACAAAATTTCAAAATATTTTTGTTTTTATAAATATAATGATTAAAATTAAAATAATTAATAATATACAAAAATTTGGATTTTTTTTCAATAATTATTTTTAATTCAAGAATTTCTCATTCTCTTTTACATATTACCTTAATTAAATTGAAGCACACGAAAATTATTGCAGTACAATTAGGTTTACAAAACAGCCTTTTTCATAATGACATGCGACTAAACAAAGTACGGCGGCTTTTTAACCGTGATTCCGTACTCGTTGAGAGCCGGAGCCAAGTCTTCCATGGTCAGAGTGTACTTTTTGTCTTTGGTCGTTTTGCTGGACTTGTTGGGGAGCGCCGAGCCGCGCGTCTTGCAGTGTTGCAGGGCATCGTTGGCAATGTCCGAGATGAACTTTTGGGCGGCCAGCGACACCAGTCTGGTCCTGCGAGCATTAAACAATTTTTTTCTTTATTTCACGCATCGGACAGATTCATCTCTTTCTCTCTTTGCGAGAGCAGGCGATAAAAATAAGCAGTAAAACTTAATATGCGCCTGTTTGCTTTGTAAATAAATGTGCTGGCGCGGCCGACGCGACCCGATTCCGAACGAACTCAAGCACGGCGCTTGCTTTTCAGCCTGATTACATCTCTAACGCAAACTGGTTGAATGGACTGACTTCTTTTTCGTCTGCAATCTTTGTTTCACAAAAAGAAAGTCTCCTTAATTACATACAATCAACTATTTATTTCATTTTATTAAATTGGCAACTAGATAAATGTATTAATTTTTGAAATTAAAATTTTTTGAAAAAAATTTTTATTTCTCTCTCAAATATTTATTTTATTGCGACACTCATGCAAATCCAAATCTGGCCCGAGGATATATCTCTTCACTTTTAGCTGCGGGAGTAAAAAGCATAGCACCATGGCATTCACAACTTTACTTTCTGGCTTGGCTCCCCAGCCGAGCGCTTTGGCAGCTGCGCGCGCACCTCTCTAATGTACATTGAGGGACCCTTCTCACATTTTTTATTTCACATACAAAAAAAGTAAACGTTCGGTTCGTGCTCAAAGTCAATGCAGCACACAATGCTTGCTCCATTTTTCTTTGACAAATCGCCTCAGAAAACAAAGAGCAAAAAATGGATTGCATGTTTCAGAGAGAAATGTATTTTAGCAAGTGGGACATTTTTATACAATAAATGTTGGTCGAAATAAAAAGAAGAGGGAAACTCGATTTGTGTAAAAACAATAACAAATAATGCGACAAAAGTGTCACTATATCAACTAAAACGTTTGGGAATGCTAAAATTATCTTTACAAACATTCATGGAGATTTTTTTTCTAAAAGTGCACAACAATTTGTGCAGGGATAAAATTAATCATCATGAGCAAAATTTTTAAAATAAGTAATATTTTATAGTGCTAGCTACTAAATTGATAATAGATACCAAACAATGATAATAATAACAATAAAAAATTACAAATATAAGTTATAGCATAATCAATAAAATTCTAAACAAATTTCCTGAAAAAGTCCTTCTTTATTGCATTTATTATTTTCAAATTTTAACAGATTTTACGAAATATTTCAGAAAAATAAATCTCTTTATCAAAGATTTCAGTGATTTCACAAACAAATTATTAATCAGCAAAATGGAAAAAAATCAGATTTTTTTTAGCAGCAATAATTTTGATTAATTTAAAAATTAAATTAAACCCAAAAAAGTAATATTTTTTGGATTGAATTAAACAATAAATAAAGCTAAATGAATTCGCCGCAATGGCTACAAATATTTGGTGAAAATTTTAAAATTGTAACTCGAAACAATCAGCTTGAATTAAAAAAACAATCACAAATTTCTTGCGTAATATTACCGTTTTCTAAACAAAATATTTATTTTATTAGTATATTTTGAAAAATTTTCATTTAATTTTATTATTAAAATAATGATTTTTGTGTATTTTTTTTTTTTTACAAATAGTATTGAAATACTTTATTTAACTGTGGGTATGGCTTAAGTGTTAAAATCGTTAAAATGAAGAGGAGATGGATCCTTTTATCGCACATAATGATTAAATTACAATATTTTGATTTGAAATCTAACTTTTCATCACTCTTAATTTTTTTTTTAGATTTATCAGTCTGCTAGTTTTGAATTGCTTTCTTTAATGTAATTTCTTCAAAATTAGATTTTATTTTAGACACAAAAAAGGTCAAACATTTTTGCAAAACCGAATCCTTTCAACCGATTTGAAAAAATTAAACATTATTTATTATTAAATAAAAATAATCTTTTGGCGATATCTATTGAATAAGCTTAATTAATACATAGTTATCTAACTAAGTGCAAATTTTAATTAAACTCCAAAAAAATTTGCAATGGAGTAAAATGCTTTCCTTTTACAACTTCATTTTATTACATAAATTACCATCTATTAGTCTTGTTTTAATCTTTGCTCATAAAGCTAATAATGTTTTATACAAACTGCCCTGGTGTTTGAATGTATGTCTCAATTATTTTCCCATTAAACTGTGTTTATACTCACATCCTTGGGTCTGAGGTTTCATAGCCAGCCATGTTCAGGTAATGGGCAGTGACCGCATCAGGGATCTGCACTCAATCAAACGAAACTTTTTAGTTTTATTCAATTTAACGTTATATTTAAATAATATTTACCGTCGGCGTGTAGTCCTCGAGTTGCATGAGAAAGTCTGCAAGCGGTTGGCCTGCGGTTTTCGAGTCTGCCTGTTCACTGGAACCACCGGCCGAGGCACCAGACGTGGCCGCCTCCTTGCCCTGATCATCCGACTCGAGCTTCATGGTCCTCGAATTTGCCAAGTCTCAACTCTCCGACGCTCAATTCTGCCAAATTTCCGGCAAAATACGCAAGATTTGAAGCCAGAAGCCTTCAGCAAACAGAATAAAATGCGCGAACTGCCTCAATGTAAACAAACTCAAACAGGAACGAAATGAAAAAAGTGGAAAAACAAAAACAAGTCACTCGCTTTACGCATGCGCAGATCAGAGTGTCTTGAGATTTCAACCAAAATGTTTTTTCTTTTCTCTTTTTAAGAACACATTATCAGACTTATTTGATTAAAATGTAATTTTTTCAAATTATAAACTAATCATTTTTAATTTTCCAACATTAAGTTTGCCCTTTAATTACTAGAAATACAAAATGTTTTAGTAAATTTCTAGAAACATTGCGTCACACCAATTTTAGGATTTTGATTTTCCCGCCATCACGTGATCTCTTCCTCTTCTGTGTCACTGGAATTTTGTGCTAAAGATAATGAAAATAATCACGAACAAGTAATTTCAAGCCTCTCATAATTTATTTTAAAATTTTTTGAGTCACAATTTAACACCCTTCCCGTGAAAAAGAGCCCGGAATCGAGTTCGAACATGTCATTTTAGTACACGTCATTCGTGGCGCGCCCCCAGCGTGTTTTGGGGGAGTGGGGAACACCTGAGGAAAAGTGGCCTGACACTTTCATCCGTTTGCGTTGTTTTTTATTTTGATTTACAGCCTTTCAAAGACTTGATCATGTTTGACACTTTGCAAAATGTGTCTCTAAAATCGCGGTGATGGCAGGGTGGATCAGGGTGTGGGCCTCAAACCTTCTGTTCTACCTGATTTTGACCTGTGTCACAACCACTTGCAATTATGTAGACGAGTCGCAGCCTAAGTTCGAGGGCCTTCCCTTCTGCAGTGACGCAAAACACGACGATAAAAAGTGCGTATATTTAATTAAATTCATTTTGACTGCATTTTAAAATTTATTGTTTTCTTGGAAACATTTTTATTGAATTTTCTGAATTATTATTTGTTATGTAGCACAAACGTTTACAAAATCATACATTTCATAATTTAACCTTGATATTAATTTTTCCTCTTTTTTTGCAGATATGTTTTGATAAGTACTCTCGATGGAGCCATATCGGCATTAAATGTTGACGATGGAGGGAGCTTATCCTGGAGTTTGCCTACAGGCGACTCTCCAATGCTGTCCTCCAGTATTCATAGACTTGAGGTGAATTATAATGTAATTCTATAAACCAATGATTTAATGTGGAAATTTTTCAATTGCAATTAAAATTTGTATTTATAGTGATCAAAAGTAATAATAAGTATGAAATTTCAGCTGACAAGCAACGGGCAGTACGTCCGGATGATACCTTCCCTTAGTGGCAACCTTTACAAATTCGACGGGAAGTACATCGAACCGGTGCCCATCAACGCCAACCACCTCCTGCGCAACTCTTTTCGCTACTCAGAGGATCTTGTCATTTCTGGCGGCCGAGAAACCATGACTTACGGCTTGGACATGAACTCCGGACGAGTCATTTACGAATGCACCATCAAGGGTTGCGACCGGAACTTCACAGGTCAGGAGAGCGACGGCCACGTCTTGGTTGTCCAACGCCAAACGCAGACCATCAGAGCGTTGGAGCCGAGGACTGGTTACGAACGGTGGAACTTCAGTGTAGCCCAACATGATGTCAAACTGCTCAACGACCCAAACTCCGAGTGCCATGACAAGGAGCGCATCAAGGACGAGGATTTGATAATCAAGGTTATTGTGCCGGATGGGCTTGTCTGCGCCCTGAACAAGAAGAACCCTTCCCAGGTCGTTTGGAAGCACAAAGTAAAAATAAAGTATTTAATTTATTTTTTAAAGTTTTATGTGTTTTGAAATTTCCAGTTTTCGTCTCCAGTTGTCCATGCGTGGCAGTATAGCCAGGGCGAGGTGTCGATTGTGGACATGTTCAGCGGCACCTTCACCCCACCTCTAAGGTCTCTGCCAACAGCACCATCGTTGTATGTTGGAATGCATGAAAAGCAAGTCTACATTCAGGAGAGTGTTCGCGTCCAGCAAGGTGTGGCCGAGGAATCGATTCCTTTGATCACCAATGGCATGCCCACTCGGATACCCTGGAAGCCTTACCCTGCATCTGTGTCTGCTATTGGTCTTATTGAGTCCAGCGAAGTTCCGCTTTTAACGGATGAAAGTCAATATGAAGAAACCACCGCTTTGTCTCAATCCGTACTTTATGGCTCAGAATATGCAAATGGTAAAATAAAAAATACTGCTTTTCATTATGATTACTCCTTGTTTGGTTTAGGAAATGGCTTTTTCTTATTTAAGCCAGAAGAAAAGGTGTGTGACAAAAATTCGACTGCTTCAGAGGAGGAAGATGAATTGCCTAAACTCAGTATGGAGATGGAGGAGGACACTCCTGTTCAAATTGTGATTGTTTCACTTTGGTACTGGTGGTAAGTTTTGCAAATTCTGATGCAAATTTTTGTACTTCATGTCTTATGGCTTACAGGAAAGAAGTTTTGATAATTTGTATTACAACCACGTTGCTGTCAAACTTCCTCTGCACACAACGATACCTTTTGCTGAGGCGTCGGCTAGATGTAAAATTTCCTTACACTTTTTGTGTGTACACAAATAAAATAACAAAAACAATATTTTTAGGACTATCTCATTGTTGAGACGCGATCACGCCAAAATTCAGACTCTGGGGTTGAATTTTTCCGACACTCTAGCAACTCTAGCATGGAAGGAGAGAAAACCCCTGAATTTTCATCACGCTATTTGGACGATTTTGAACAAATCAGGTGCCTTGGAAAAGGTGGTTTCGGAGTTGTATTTGAAGCTAAAAAGAAAATAGACGACTGTCATTATGCTGTGAAGAGGATCAAACTTCCAAATAGGTCAGTGTGATTTATATTCTACTCAAAACATTCTTACTATTTTATTTTTTTAAAGAAAAGAGTCGCAGGATAGAGTAATGAGAGAGGTGAAGGCTCTAGCAACACTGGCCCATGATAACATAGTTCGATATTATCATTCCTGGATAGAGTGTCCACCGCCAGGTTGGCAAATGGAGCAAGACAAGTATTGGTTGAAGTAAGTTTTTCAAAGCCAAAATTAAGATGTAAATTTACAAATTGGTTCCAATTACAGAGGTTTGGAGTCCAAAGATTCCTTGCTGCCTGGTGAGCTTGACTTTGAGTATAGCCAAACGTCCGTAACAAGTGGATACAAGAATGGCTTCAACAGAAATGACTCTGTATTTTTAAAAATACCTACTGACGAAAGCAGCAGTATCAAAGGCCCTGCTGCACCTGAGCTGAGTGACTCGTTCATCCAGTTCAAGGAAAGTACATCACCATCGAAGGATGAAAGTCATTTTTCTGAAGATACTGATGACACTGCTTCCTTCGTCAAGTTCAAAGTCGATGACCTGGAAATAACCAAAAACAGTGGCGCTCTGCAGCCTTACATTCCTGTAGGAATTCCTTCCAGTGCTTCTTCCGACAGCTGCGAGGAAGAAAACATCACAATTTCTGATGATGAAGAGTCTCAGAAAAAACTGGTTGCAGCTCCCACATTCCTCTACATACAGATGCAGCTCTGCCAAAAAGAGAGTCTGCGGGAATGGCTCCACAAGAGGAACATCCGAGCCTATCCTGACGAGGAGTTACATGATTTCTCACATGTCAAGTCCATCGACTTCTTCCACCAAATTACATCAGCTGTGGAGTATATCCACAACCAAAATCTTATTCACAGAGATCTCAAGGTAATGAATTGATAACTTTTTCTTAAATAATTACATTAATGAAATATTTTTAGCCTTCGAACATATTCCTTTCCATTGACGGACGAGTCAAAATTGGTGACTTTGGACTGGTGACGGCGATGACGGAACCTGAAAATGGCAGGACGCCCAGTGATGAAATGAATCCTTGGCCCAGATCTGATGATGATGACCGGCACACAGCCAACGTTGGCACTCGACTTTACATGAGCCCTGAGCAGGTACAAAATTAAAACACAATCATTAATTAAAAAAGTGCTTGTGTTATTTTTTTCGGAAATCAAGCAGTAGCAAAAAATTATAAGGAAAATTAATTTGAATATAGTTTTAATATTTATTTAATTATCTTCCAGGTCTTGGGACTGCCCTATGGCCACAAAGTCGATATATTTTCTCTGGGTTTGATACTCTACGAGATGTTGGTCCCATTTAGGACCCTAATGGAACGAGCTCATAGCTTGCAATCAGCACGGGATGGCCGATTTCCCGATAAATTCCTGAACGATTTCCAGCATGAGGTAGGAAGCATGATCTCAATTATTTTTTCACTTCCATTGCTTAAATTAATTTTATAGTACAACTTGTTGCGTCTCATGTTATCGCATTGTCCGGAAGAAAGACCCGCCGCGCAAGAAGTTCGTCAAAAGCTTCCGCCTCCTACCGTTTCACTTCCCTGAGAAGTTTGTGATTTTTTTTACAAACATTATTAAATGTACGTGAGTGAACTTGATTTTTCAAGTTAGGGACTTTTTAACCGATTATTACGCTGAATCGTGCAGCTTTTCATTGTCATTGTGTTTTCGCTTGTATTTATTTGATTCTTTTAACCTTATAAAAATTCATTGGACTGTTAATGTTAAAACCCCCGTTGCAATAAATGAAATCATGTAAATTATAGTCTTGGTTTTTAATAAATACTCTAATTAACCATTTAAAAAAATAAATACAAAAATTACAAAATACCGTCTAGATAAAAAAAAAATACTTGATGTGCTCAATAGTAGTCAGGCACTGGCGCGCAAGCAATTTTCACAAAGTCCTCGTAGCGAACTTGCCCATTGGGACCCACATTCGCCTCATGGAAAATATGATCCACTAAAACATGAGTTTATGGTTTTAATTATTTTGTATTGATGCGATTATAATTTTAACAATTCACCTTCTTTTACGCTCAACTTTTCGCCCCAGTTTAGAAGAATGTGTCGCAGGTCCTTGGCAGAAATGAGACCACTTTTTTTAGGGTCATTTGCCCGAAAAGCTGCCAAAACTTCAGTGGGTAGTTTCTCCACTTTGCTGTGTGCGTGCATGATGTCCAAAAAGTCGGAGAATGCCAGTTGACCTCCTGTTTATAAAAAATATTTTTTTGAAGTGCTCAATTTTTTAAATTAAAATATTAATCAAATTGATGATTTCAAAAAGGACCAATTCAGGTTAATGAGGTCATCAGGGGGCGAACCTTTGTCTTTGAAGTATTTCTTGAGCTCGGCTATGGTGGGGCTCATGCCGAGTGACCGCATCGTTACGGTCAGCTCGTCCAGGGTGCGGATTTGGCCATTTCGCGCAAATAGGTAGAAGCACTCTCGAAATTCTGTAACGATTAGTAATGCTCAGATAAGATAATGCTAAAACGCCATCAACTCAATTGTTCTTACCGTCTATGTCCTGCTCTCGGAAATAACGAGCCTAAAAAATATTTCCGTAGTTAAAAAATTGTTTGTTTCCAAGTAATTTGCGGTCAAAATATTTACCATGATTTTGCGTGGATTTGTCCAAAATTCAAAGGTTCACCGAACCGAATCAAGCAGTCACAGCCGACTTGGCACCTGCAGCTCACCTGTATGTTTTCAATCTTTTCACTCTCCGTCCCGAGCGCTCTCTGGTTGTTGAAACCGCTATTATCGTCATACCTGTGCTGAGATAACACACTTCATTTTAAGCGACGACGACACTTATCTGGCTACTTTTCTTTCAAATTACTAAACCAGAATTATAAACATTCTTATGTGATTCACAATCAAATTATATTGCCTGCAATAACAGAAAAATTACCGAATATTAAATAAATTAAATTATAAGTTTTGTAAATGTTTGTTAATTAATTTTTTTATAATCAAAAAATTTATTGATTTCGACTTATGTAAAAATCAGCTGAAATAATTGTTCTTCATTGTCTTTTAAATTTTTTTGACAATTCAGATCGGATGATGAAAACTATAAAATAAAAGCGACTCGGCGTTCGCTAATTTTATAAGCAAAGTTATGCAATCTGCTCGTCTCCTGTGTAGCGGATGCTGCATACTATGAAACTCGCAGGCGCTTTTCCATTCCAATCAGAGAGAGATTATTTCTCATTGAATTAGCGAGTTGAATTTTGTGGCATAATGGAAGCAATAAATAAATATAAATCCCAGAAATCCAAATTGTAGATGAACAACGATTTTTTCTGAAGTAATTTTTTTAGGTGTAACTTTATTTTTTTTTTTTAAAGTGGGAATATTTCGAAGAGACGAAAAAGACAGTAATTTAAATATTTGAAAGGCAGTAGGATTTATTTGTTTAGATCAGGTATGGGCGCATTACAAAAATGACAAGTCACAATTTCTCATTTCTCCGACCGATACGCAGAGCCAAGGGCCGCCGCGGACGTGTTTTCCAGGCGGCCGTTGGCCGCTGCGTAACGATGTGCGGCGCGTTGGGCAAGATTTACAAGTGGTAGAAAGGGTATCCGGCGAAGCCGTAGCCGGTGAGGCCGTAGCTGTAGACGAGGGGGGTGGCGACGGGCTTGGCCTCCTCGGTCTTGACCTCGGCGCTCTTGGCCTCGACGGCGACGGCTTCGGGGGCGGCCTCAGCAGGGGCAGCCTCGGCGGGGGCAGCGGCAACGGCCACGGGGGCGGCGAAAGCGACGGGGGCGGCGGCGTAGGCGGTGTAAGCGAAGGGGGCGGCCACGTGGGTCAGAACCTCCTGCTCCTTCTCGGTGAGCTCGATCTTGCGGGTGGCGGCGGGGGTGAGGGCATCGACGGGCTCGTAGGTGTTGTACTTGATGGAGGTCTTGGCCAAGACGGGGGCGGCGACGTAGGGGGTGCTGATGAAGACGGAACGACGGCGGCGGGAGGACTCAACCTTCTCAGCGGGAACCTCGGGAACCTTGTCGGCGGCGGCGGCCTCGGCGGCCTCCTTGTACAGGCGGGCGAACTCGGCGCGGGCAGCAACAACCTGAGGAGGAGAATTTTTTTAGTAAAATCATAATTAAATTTGGAAAAAGTACAAATTGAAACAAATCAATAGTTTTTAATTGGGAATTGGTCGGAAGTAGCTAAATAATTAATTTAAATAGTTTTAAATCAATGCAATTTTTCCTCCAAGCAATTTTTTTTTTCAATTTGCAAATTTCTTTACAATTTCAATATTAATAATTTTCATATAGAATATTAGTATTTTTTTTCTCTCTCTCTCACCTCAGCGGTGTCCTGAACGGGTTCGGGGGCAACCAGAGCGGGGGCGACGGGAGCCTCAGGGGCGACGGGGGCCTCGGGCAGGTTGTTGGCGCCGAGGACGCGGAATCCACCGTGTCCAGCGGTGTACTCGACAATGTTCACCTTGCCGTTAGGGTCGACGTAGCTGTAAGATCCGCGCACGTTTCCAAGAGCGTCACGAACCTCGGCGCGGTTCTGCAGGGCCTCGCTGTGTCCAAAGCTGGCCTGTTTCGATGAAATTGCGAATAAATATCCGGTTAAATTAGTTGACGGAAGAGAAAATTCACCTGTCCCAAAACATCCTGGGCGTGGTACTTGGTGTGGGACAGAGCGACGGGAACGGAGACCAGGGGGGCAGCAGCGACGGTGCGGGTCAGGGCATAGGGCCAGCCGATGGGGGCCGAGTAGAAGTAGTTCTGGGGGGCGGCAACAGCCACGGAAGCAAGGGCGGCGACGATCTGGAGGGACAAAAATTAGGTTAAATATTTAATTTATTTATCACTGAATCGGCATAATTAAAATTTTTCCTAATTTTTAAAAATATTTTGTTATTCAGTTATTTTATGAATAAAAATTTTTAAAAATAAAAATAATTAACTTTTTGAAGAATTTTCAAGCTCTTATTTTTAATGTGTATCTGATCTTTGCTGTGATGCGAAATTAAATATAAATTTCACAGTTGGCTTACCAGGAACCTCATGTTGCGCTGTGTGCTGTGACAAGAGTGCTTCTGCCTGGGCCGGCGTCGGTATTTATAGGTAGGAGTGCGTCAGGGAGGCTCTCGGGCAGGTCTGCAGGACACCAACCGACCTTGAGGCTCGAGCCACGCCGACCCCGCCCTCACTCCCGCAACCATTATCCGCGACCGCCACTAACTCTCGTCCCCTCGCGATACCACCTAATGTACCCAATCGCGAGACTCGCCGCCACTTTTTGGGCATAAATCTGGCTCAGGTTTTGTCGTTGCTTAAATTATTACCCGAGAAGGCGACAATTCAGACCATATTCGATTCGAGAGCAAGCGGATCTGTCTGGCGCCCCCCACGAGTTAAGACGCCAGGAAATAATTTATTGTAATATGGCATTTCGTTTCAAGATGTATCGGGCCATTTGAGATGAAAGGTCAATCGGTTTTTCAGGAACAAATATTTTTTTTAGAATTTTGTAATATTTTTTTAATTGCGAAATAAGAATTATCTGCTTGAAGAAATTTTATTTCATATAAAAGCTCAAAAATTTTTGGTCACGGTCTGCAGCAAAAACAAAAATCGACATCATAGAGTTTTAATTTAATTACGTTAATGGCTGTGAAATTTTAATAATAATTTTAAAAAAGGCTAATTTTTTAATTGTATGTAATTGAAATTTTATTTAAAACATGCCGACTTGATACAGAAAAAATCAATAAATTTTAGAAGTCAATACAAAATATTATTTATAAACAAAATTATTAATAAAAAATATTTTGATTAATTTTTAATTCTTTAATTAAACAGTTATAAATGTAATTTCTTTAATTTTTATTTAATACATTTGTTTGTCACTTAAAATAAATTAGGTTTGTTGTTGACAGAGGCAGAGACTGCTTGGCATGCCGCGCGAATTGTTTATTGCGGTTACGCTGATTATACACATGCAGAATATCCAGTTAAGTGTGTGCGTATCGCTGTTCAGCACACTGTGTGATCTCAGTTTCACTTTTCATTACCAAGAAACACACAGAAATGAAGGTTCGCGCGGTTTAATCGAACACACGTCCGTCGATCAGCGTTGTGCAAAAGCACAGGCAATTCGATATACTGAAATTTTTTCAAAATAAAATTCCCTCTTGCTTTTTCCGTTGATTGATGCCGCGGAGGGATTCATTATTTTAAATTGTTTATGGCGCGTAGCGAAATTAAATCAGCACCTTTGGCTATGTCTTAAGAAGAGATTCCAGAAATAAGGCAGAAACACACACGGCAGGAAGATGGGCAGGTTCGCGCTCGGGTGGAGCATTTAGAGACAAGGCCATGAGACCGAGACTTGGTGGGAATGAAGCTAATATTAGAACTAGAATATATTTTTATAGACTATGATGAAAGATTCTTGTAAAATGTGCTAATACAAGTTAACATACACATGACACACAGTAAAATATTTAAAATGAACAACTACAATTTTTAAAATTTTATTAATTACTAATATAGTCGATACGTGTTTGTAAAAATTTTTATACCAGGTAAAATTTTTTCACAAAATTACAATGTAATTTATAGAAGACCATGTCAAGTTAGCTTAATTATATCTTGCTTATACTAAATTGTGGCACTAAAAAGTTTGTCATTAAGGGCACATTTTGAAAACAAAATTACTTTTAAATTGCCATTACAAGCAAAACTAATTTTCAAGATTAATTGAAAATTTATGCCATAATTTCTCAATGGAAATGATTTTTAAAATGGTTAATATTAAAGAAGTAAATTACAGTAAAAATAAATTTATGAGCCAATTTTGTTATTTTTAGCTGAAAAGACCATTGATAAAAAAATTTAATATTAAATAATAATTTAAATGGTAGTTTTTTTAATGATCCAGTAAGGTCAATTGTATAACATTATGTTAACCAAAGCGAATAATTCTCATACATTATAATCTTCAGTTTACAATATTTTCTTAAGTTTATTTACGATCAACAAACAGCAGTGACAGTATGAATATTTTCTCGCCGTCACAGAAAAGTTCAAACCAGTAATTACATGTAATGCTCTCATTAAGCAAGAAAATACATATAATCTCGAAAAGCGTCTCTCTATAAATAAAAATGAAAGTGCACCGCCCAAGAGTAATAGTCGGCACTGGACCTTTCTCGATCATTCAGGACGAGACGGACGTGCTGTCACCCGTTCGCAATGATATTGATTCGATCGCAGGTCGGACTAAACGGTATGCAAATGACTTCTGTAATCGAAGCTAAGCTCGATTAACATTCAGCGTCGGTGCAGTTACGTAAAAGAAGCCTCAGTCAGAGGTTATTCGCAGTGGACGCGAGGCCTTGCAGCAAGGTCGAATTCACTCACACACACATTTCTTTCTCATCCAGATAAATACACCGGCGTATCAATATAGACCGCACCCACGTCTCTTTCTTGCTGCACAGTGAGTGAGGAATAAAGGACCAGGAAAACGATCACAAACGCTCGCGTTACATTTGTAATTCTAATGTGCGCCAAGGACGGGAAAAATTGTCGCAAAAAGTTGCTCCGCAGAAGAAAGATGGATGTGAAGTATAATTGCTTTGTTTTCGCGCTGATCGAATCTAGTGAATAATTTTAATTCAAAGGTGTGATGATCCCTTTTTTGGAATCGACGATGATTTGGCACTTTTTGTTATATTTTTTGTTATAATATGATTTGAATTGGGTTGGGCACCAGCCAGAGAGGCGCCGTCGAATATAAAAATAATGTGCCGTTTTTGATCTCAGAGTTGTTCTTTCAATTTATAAATAATTCTGTAAAATTAGCATCAATTTGTACACGGAATAATAATTACCTGATCACGCTGAAGATCAAGTTCATGATCAAAATAAATGTATTATTTCTACTTTGGGTGTGGTGCTTCAATTTTTTGTTAATGCTGCGTCTCTTGTTCTTTATCGTGTTGCGAAATGGAGTCGGTCCATTTTTCTTCCGAGAGAAACATGTTTTTGAGAAGTTTATATCGAACAGAAGTAAAGTAAAAAAACAATGAAAGGAAATAAACACTCCCTTAAAATAATTTTACTCTTTTTGTAAAAATTGAAAAACGGGCTTGACCTCGCTGATAAAATTTAAGAATTATAAAGGAGACAGGAGACACATAATCCCAGAGAAAGAATTTTGAGCTACTGGTACTTTAAAATAAATTTGATTTTTTTTTGTATTTTTATTTTACATCAATTGGGGAAAAATTTTGATAGAATGAAGTGAAATTACGAGATTTAAAATTTTTAAATTGTCCATAATAGTTTTTTTTATAAGATAAACAAAAATTATTAATGAAATAAAATTGATAAAAATTTTTTAATGTTTTATTGTATAGATAATAAACTGTAATAAACTTATTTGTTTAATAACAACGTATTTTTTAAAAATAATTCAATACAATTTCAAATTAATTACCGTAAAAAAAATTAAATAACCATGATTTTTGAAATTAAAATTATAAAATAACAATAAAGTTTGAAAAATAAAAAAAATTATGTAAAAATGGGAAAAAAATTCTGAAAGAATAAAAAGAGATAATAATGAACAAGCAATAAAATTTTATTTCAATAATTTTAAACGATAAACATATTTTAATTTTCAGCCCAACTGCGTGCAACTTTCAACTTAATATATTTCCAAGCCCATCAAGATAATCAAAATAATTTTTTCCCTTCATTTTTACAATAGAAATTTTTAACTTTTTCATTCAAATATTTTAATTTCCATATAATATTCTCCTTATTTTTCAACTTTTTGCCTTCCAAAAACACACCTGTTTTGATATTATCCTCATCAGTATTTTAAGTCAGTTTATAAAAGAAACAAATCTTGATTCCACATTTTTATTTTTATAAAATCACACCCGGAATTTGAAGTAATTATACCAAGGCGCCGTGGAAAAGAAATTTTGATTGGTCTGGACTCTGCTCTTGTTATTTGCAAAAAAAGAACTTATAATCGCGTCTCGTGATAAAAGTTAATGCTACCATTAATTCGTTCCTTGCTGTGTGTTAATGGTATCGATTTTTTAGTCGCTGACGGTTCGGCAGGTTGGAATAAAGTAAAGTTTTCGCAAAGGGGGACGAGATCTTCTCGGCCTCAACCGGAATTTCCTGGTCAGCGCGAGATGATCGACCGGCAGACCTTGGTCTCACCGAAAATGCATAATCTGCTCACACCGGACCGCTTTTCCTAAAAAGGAGCAGTAAAAAATCGTTTGAATGCATTTACATAAATGCGTATTACATAAATGGTGGGGCACCGCCTTCTGAAAGAAAAGTTTAATTGCTGCAAGACGAGACCAACTGACCAGTTTTATTTGATTTGTAGGTTCATGGTCTATTTAGTGGCTGATATATTACCGCGTTGATTTGTTTGTCTAAACTAAATTAAGTTGAATTTAAATTTATCAATTATTGTGCAGTCTATCAAATTATTAAATTGAATTTGCAGTGAATTGAAATCCTTGCGTTTGACTTTTTATTTCTTTATTGAGAGTAAATTCAGTTAATATCAAATTGAATTCCCAAGGACTACTTTGAATGAATTCAAAAATTCATAGTCGTATGGACACACTTGGAGACGTGCAATTTTACTTTTTAATTTAAATTTTTTAATTTCTTTTTGTCAGGTTTCGATTAATGATGTTAGTATAATTAAAGTAAATATTTACAAAATAAAATTGAATTAATAAATGCGTTAGAAAAACATATTTGAGAAATTTTTTCGTAACCTACCACAATTTTATCTAAAACTTTTGCTTTAAGTCCACGTTACGATTTTTGAAATTTTTGAGACTCGTTACACAAATTTAATATTTGTGAAGAAAATAAGTGGTTGTAAAATTAAACCTTTTGCTTACTTTGAACCTAAATAACATTTTTTTTAAGGAAATAAAAATTAAATTAAAATAAATATTGACGCACATAATTTGTATTTTTAAGGAAATTGAGTCCTTCCGCCTCACTAAAAGTCTCGATTTATATCATTTAAAGGCGGCTTAATTGGCAAAAGTTGTCAGCGAAATACGCTCACACACACACGTCAGATTAATCTTTTTGCTCTCAGTGTCCGGAACACAAAACATAAATCATACTCTCGCGAAAA